AAAAATAACCCCAACAATCAACTACTAAAAACTGTACTGAAAAATAGCCCAACAGTCAGCTGTTAGAAATTATATTGACATCTCTTGAACTACGTAGAGTGCAAAGTTTGGTAAGTACAGGACATCACGAAAAACTTTGAAAATATAGCAGAATACAAAAAGGCTTGCCACTTTTATAACTTTTACACTCTATCGCACCAGGATTCACGAACTTATGCTCATAGCTGGGCCTACCCACATTGTAAACAGGCTCTGTTCCCTGTGCTAGGAATGTTAGGTTTGTCAGTAATAGGTTTGTCATGAGGCAAATTGAAAGAGAAGGAATCTGTCGGTGGGAAGGGAGACAATACTACTAGGACTGTCTGCCGCTGTCCCTAACTTTGAACTACTGACCACAGTGAAGGCAGCCAGTCAGCAGGACATTACCACTCACGCGAAAGAATTGACTGTCACTCTTATAACGCAACGAAAGTTTAAATATTTTGTGTTATGGCTCTATCAGAGGGCCGACTAGCAGCATGAGTAAATAAACATTTCCCTCGCCATTAAAGGGTACGATAACCACTAAATCCTTGTCAGCGGGGAAGTATCTACAATAATTACATTTATTTGCATTAACCACAAGTTTCTCACTTGTAGCTACTGACGTAGGAGGTTTCGAAGGTATTTTGGCTAAAACTTAAGAAGTTCAAATAAGAAGAGATATATATTAGACTTGGAATTCAAATTATTCTTATTTGAAAACAATACGATCCCATTTTTACTGGAAACGTTTCTAGGCCAGTGTTTCTCAGCCGGATTTACTAGACGACCCCCGCATCGGGGTTTTGGTCGTCGCGACCCTCCATTGTCTCTACAAGGATGAAAAAAAAAAGTCAATTGTATTTATTTATATAACATGTTGACTCAACACAGACAGCTCGCAACCCCATAGGGGGTCGAGACCCACCGCTTGAGAAACTCTGGTCCAGATATTTGTTTGTTTGCTCTCTTAGATCTTTATTTGTTTACACAATAATACAAGAATATTAAAGAAAACATAATGATCAAGCACGTTTTTGTTTAGCATTTATGACTGGTCTGTTAAACAAAATGTCTTTTGGGCTATTAGAAAACAGCGCCGCTTCATTTTAGTTTTGGTTTTGTTTCTTACATAGGGATGTAGCTAAGTTAGTCTAATTTCACCACCAGGTGAAATTCAAGTAATTCTGTACTGCTTTTAATAAGCAGGATATCCAATTTTATATAATACTGCATAGGATATTTGGCGTTGTAAATCGTTGATAGTGGACTGTCGGTGGAGACGACAAGCTCTTCAGTGGACAAGATCTAATATATACTCTACTATCTTACCAAGTAAAATCTGCAATCGAAGTAATTACGAAAACTGTAGTTAGAGGGCGCTATGGTTAATGTTAGTACATGACTCTTATGCAATGTTCGTTTAACATTGCTTTAACGTGCTACATATATTTAAATATACGTAACAACTGAAGATGGGTTCAGATTGTAAGCGTAAACTTACGAACTGGGTAGGAAGACTACAGTCTTGCTGTGTACCCAATAAGGTATAGGTAGAGAAACAACTGTCTTGCATCTTATACGAGACTTACGAAAGAGCGGTGTTTGTTTGTTTGCGCGCAGTTTAGAACGCGCGGGTCACTTCGTTGCCAAGCTCTCCAAGGCAGCAAAGAAGACTCGTTGTAGTTGTCGAGGGGAAAGATGATGACGTCTAGCGTGACCTAGGAGAATATCCTCAAATCACGCTGGGATTAGGAGGGATTCTTATGTGTGGTCAAAGTAAAGACAAGTTGTCTGTGTAACAATCTTACAAAGATAATCAGGCAACATCTAAAGACTATGAAAAATATTAATTATTTAAATTTCAGTTTATATTATTAGAGATGATCCAGCGTTGATAGACTCACGTGTGACGATGAATACGGAAAAGATACAAGAAGAACTTTAGATGTTCATAATGCTGAATATATCACAGATTCATGGTTACATTCGACAAGCGGTGAAACTTTACATAATAATGCGCTGGTCCCTTCTTTAGCAGGTCCAGAGCCTAACAACGGATGGCTTCTTCTAACAAACATTTAAGTACTCATGTTTATTTTCATATGGACAGGTCTTCACGGCCAAAATACGGAAGCGGTTTTAATATTTCTGGTCCACTTTTTGAGGCTCAACGAGGAGGTAGCAACAACGAAAAACCAAGGAATAAGGAGAACACTCCGCTTCTCTCTTTTAGGCCTAGCCAACTTCAAGACAGCCGCACTTCCGATACTGTCAGAGATCACCCAGCCAGACTACGGTTCATCGAGCCGTCAGCCGTCGGAGAGATGGGAAGAGAACATTCTCGCCCAGACTATGACGACTTCGATGCGTTCTGCCAAACACCAACCATGTTGTCTCCAGAAGTGTTCTTCAAGGAGAAGAACAAACGAAAGCTTTGGCATTGTGGTTCTTCGAAAGACAAATACGAGATGCAATATGAAGACTGTCTACAACCGTTCAGTCATCGGTCCCTACGACTTCAGGAAACCGCCTTGGAAGACCGAAAACGGACTCAAAATCAAACTCGAAGACCGAAGGATGAGTCGAAAGGACTAAAACGGTTACCGTCAGCTACTGGATCAAGCGAATCGGCTGAAACGTCCAAGCATCAAGATGTGCAAGACTGCATCATAATTCCTGCACACTTAATGGGCCGTTTCATGCCATTTTATCAGGTAAAAGTTTAATTTCAATTTTTATAAAAACTAGTTGGCTGCTTCTAACTGTAATTTAATTTTCATAGTAATAAAAGTGTTAGCGGAAGGAGTAAACTGTTCATTTTAACAAAATAGTTCAATAGTCGGCTTTAGATCTAAGTTTATAAGTTTAAAATTCTCGATTACCACATGTTGGAACTTGATTTTAACTGTGTGGTCTCAACATGTCAGGGACTTGGTTTTAAATGTGTGATGACTGCATGTCTGGGACTTGGTTTTAACTGTGTGGTTTCAACATGTCAGGGACTTGGTTTTAACTGTGTGATGACTGCATGTCAGGGACTTGGTTTTAACTGTGTGATGACTGCATGTCTGGGACTTGATTTTGACTGTGTGATGACTGCATGTCTGGGACTTGGTTTTAACTGTGTGGTTTCAACATGTCAGGGACTTGGTTTTCACTGTGTGATGACTGCATGTCTGGGACTTGGTTTTAACTGTGTGGTTTCAACATGTCAGGGACTTGGTTTTAACTGTGTGGTCTCAACATGTCAGGGACTTGGTTTTAACGTGTGATGACTGCATGTCAGGGACTTGGTTTTAACTGTGTGATGACTGCATGTCAGGGACTTGGTTTTAACTGTGTGGTCTCAACATGCCAGGGACTTGGTTTTAACTGTGTGGTCTCAACATGTCAGGGACTTGGTTTTAACTGTGTGATGACTGCACGTATGGGACCTGACTTTCACTGTGTGATGACTGCATGTCTGGGACTTGACTTTCACTGTATGATGACTGCACGTATGAGATTTGACTTTTACTGTGTGATGACTGCATGTCTGGGACTTGACTTTCATTGTGTGATGACTGCATGTCTGGGACTTGACATTCACTGTGTGATGACTGCACGTATGCGACTTGACTTTAACTATGTGGTCACACAACGTATGGGACTTTACTTTCTCTATGAAGTATTAGCACTCTGGGACTTTAATTTTCAGCTCATTTTTATACTCTTTCTTTTCAATCCAAAAGTTACTGTGTTAACATTTGCCGAGTTTCGAGAACTTTCCATTGAAAATGCCCCCCAGTAGTACAGCGGTATGTCTGCGGAGTTACAACGCTAGAATCCGGGTTTCGATACCCGTGGTGGGCAGATCACAGATAGCCTATCATGTAGCTTTGTGCTTAATTACAAAACAAACCATTGAAAATGTTTAGGTTTCAAAGTACACAAGTTAGCTGTTTCCGAACACCCAAAGTTGTTTGAATAATTTACTTAGTTATTTTGACAATAACTTTCAGTTATTTGTGTGGTTGACTTTATAATCATTAACAAGCTGAGAATTAGAATATTTAATTGTCTGACGCAAAGTGAAAAAAATTAAAAGTTTGTTTTTGTTACAAAATGAGAGCTTTTCAATATATTTTTTCTAGACAGAAGTTCTTATTATTAGCTTTTTAATATATTTTTTCTACACAGAAGTTATTAGTATTAGCTATTTAATATATATTTTTTCTACACAGAAGTTCTTATTATTAACTATTTAATATATATTTTTTCTACACAGAAGTTCTTATTATTAACTATGTAGGTTGTGGGGGAAGATGTACACATTCAATAAAAAAGAAATATTCTCATGCTATAATTCTAGGTTCAAAAATGACCAATCCAGTTGTTTTAATTAGTCTTTCCCATTCAAAAAGTACTTGGTAATTTCAGTTTAAATGGCTAGGTCAGAAACCTCAAGTTTCAGGTATAGTTTTCCCTAATTTAATTTAAAATTGCTGACCAGAGAGAGAGAGAGAGAACAACACGTCAGTAACACCCGCCGCCTATGTATTACTCTTAACTGAATAAGAGAATTGACTGTCACAGTTATAAGTTCCACTTATGAAATGTGAAGTGTGTTAAACGGAATATCGCGGCTCGAACATTAAATCTTATGGTTTCCAACCCGACATATCACGCTAACCACTAATCGCGCTCAGTTTCTTAGCTGTACAGCATGTAGAATGGATGCTAAGTTCGTGCCTTTACTAGTCACATAAACTACTTTTGCCAAGTCCATGTTCTTACTACTCACACAAACTATTGTTTTATAGTTCATGTTCTAACTACTCACATAAACTATTGTTTTATAGTTCATGTTCTAACTACTCACACTAACTATTGTTTTATAGTTTATGTTCTAATTACTCACACAAACTATTGCTTTATAGTTCATGTTCTAACTACTTACACAAACTATTGTTTTAGAGTTCATGTTCTAACTACTCACACAAACTATTGTTTTAGAGTTCATGTCCTAACTACTCGCATAAAGTAATGTTCCTAAACCCATGTCCTTACTACTCACATAAACTATTGTTCGTAAATTCGTTTCCTTACTAGTTACATAAACTTTTGTTCCTAAATTTGTTCGTATACTACTCGCACAACCTGTTGTTCCCTAATTCATGTTATTACTACTCATATAAACTATTTTTCTTAAAGTCGTGTCCTTACTAATCATTTAAACCATTGTTCTTAAATTTGTGTCCTTACTACTCACATAAAATATTGTCCTTAAGTCCTGTCCTTACCACTCATATAAACTACCGTTACTACTAACATAAAATATTGTCCTTAAGTCCTGTCCTTACCACTCATATAAACTACTGTTACTAAATTAATGTCCTTACTACTCATATAAACCATTGTTCTTAAATTTGTGTCCTTACTACTCACATAAAATATTGTCCTTAAGTCCTGTCCTTACCACTCATATAAACTACTGTTACTAAATTAAAGTCCTTACTACTCACATAAACCATTGTTCTTAAATTTGTGCCCTTACTACTCGCACAACCTGTTTTCCCTATTGTTCCTAAATTCGTGCACTTACTACTCACATATACTACTTTTCCTAAGTTCATGTCCTTACTACTTACATAAACTATTGTTCCTAACTTCGTGTCTTTACTACTCACACAAATCATTGTTCCTAAATTCATGTCCTTACTATTTACATCAACTATTGTTTCTAAATTCGTTCTCTTACTACTCACATATACTACTTATCCTAAGTTCATGTCCTTACTACTTACATAAACTATTGTTCTTAAATTCGCGCAGTACTATTCACATAAATCATTGTTCCTAAATTCGTACCCTTTTTACCACTCCACAAACTATTGTTCCTAAACTCGTGCTTTTACTACATAATCTATTTTTCCTAAATTCTTGTCTTTACTAGTCACATAAATTATTATTGCTAAGTTCATGTTCTTACTACTCATATAAAATATTTTTAAGTTTATGTCCTTACTACTTACATAAACTATTATTCCTACGTTCGTGTCCTTACTACTTACATAAACTATTGTTCCTAACTTCGTGTCTTTACTACTCACACAAACTGTTGTTTCTAAATTCATGTCCTTACTACTCACATAAAATATTGTTCCTAAAATCATGTCCTTACTACTCACATAAAATATTGTTCCTAAAATCATGTCCTTATTACTCAGATAAACTACTGTTAGTAAGTTCATGTGCTTACTACTCACATAAACTACTGCTCCTAAATTCATGTGATTAGTACTCACACAAACTATTGTTTCTATATTCGTGTCCGTACCACTCATATAAACTATTGTATCTAAATTTCTGTCCTCACTACTCACGTAAACTACTGTTACTAAATAAACGTCCTTACTACTCACATAAATTATTGTTATTCAGGTCGTTTCCTTACAAGTTATATAAACTGTTGCTCTTAAATCCGTTTCCTTACCATATTCACAGTTACTTATCCTTAAACTAATGTCCTTGTATCAACTCTTGTATCTCAGTTCATGCTCTTACTATTAGCAAACTCGATGTTAATAGCTTATATTCTATTCTTTCTTCAATATTAGTTCCATTAACAGTATTGGGTAATTTATTATATATATAATACATTTAGTTTGTTTGTTTGAAGTTAAGCACAATGGGCTATCTGTGCTCTGCCCACCACAGGTATCGAAACCCGGTTTCTAGCGTTGTAAGTCCGCAGAAATAGCGCTGTGCCACTGGGGGGGGGGATATATTTGGTATATTATTATTTGTTTAATATTTTGTATTACAAGGATTATTTTGCTTTGTTAGCTAAATATCCTGAGATATTACTGGGATTACGGCCGAAAATATCGTTAACAGCGAGATTGCCCAACTGATGAATCAATACATTCTAATGTATTTTGTTTTATACGTACCTCTGTTAATTTACGTCAAATCTGCATGCTGTATTAATCATGATGACTTGCTATACAATTGCTGAAGTTAATTGTTATGCTTTATTTTATATATAAATCCAGGGGTGATCTAGGCACAAAGCTGATTTCTGTATGTTAAAATAACGAAATAAATGTAGACAAAAAAGCAGATGATAAATAGCGAATATTCATTTATAAAAAATAGCTACATTCATAACTGGATTAATTCCTAGTTCCAATCTACGAGTAGCTCAGTTTGATCACAAGGTAATCATGGATAGTTTCTACTTGCACAAAATGCATGTTCTTATTGTATACTTTTATCCTTCAATTCTGGTCCTGTCTCCTAATCTAATTAAAACCTTTTGGGTTTAGTCGCCAATACGTTAATACTGGTGTATTGTATACAAATATTAAGAAAGTAAGAACAGTAAATATACCTTCATTTTATTAGAAGTATGGTTAAAAGTTCTTGTGGCAGGACACACTAAGTAAAATTCCCTTTAATTATTTATAGTGGATACAAACTGCATGAAATTTATTGTATTTATCAGCAATTAATAGCATAGCTTATTTACAAACTTTAGTTGACTGACACCAACAAAGTAGCTAACAACGTATTAGCTATTCCTTCCTATAATTACTTCTACCTTCATCGTGAATATAAACTTTTTATTCGGTATATTAGAATTCACAAAACGTCATGCTATAACGGTAATATACAATTCAGCTTTTCTTTGTAAAATAATGCTCTACAGCACAACTTAACTGCAAATAAA